GGTGGGGAGGGAAAGATGTCTTTGGTGGTGGGGTCGGATTGCAGATGGCGGAAGTGTCGGAGGATGATGCGTTGGATCCGGAGGTTGGTGGGGTGGTACGTGAGGACGAGGGGGATTCTTTTTTGGTTTTTATTGCGTGGACGGGGTGTGAGGGATGAGGTGCGGGAGATGTGGGAGACACGGTTGAGGGCGTTCTCGACCACCGAGGAGGGGAAGTTACGGTCCTTGAAAAACGAGGACAACTGAGATGTACGGGAGTGGAATGCCTCATCCTGGGAGCAGATGCGGCGGAGGCGAAGGAATTGGGAATAGGGGATAGCATTTTTGCAGGAAGGTGGGTGGGAGGAGGAGTATTCTAGGTAGCTGTGGGAGTCGGTGGGCTTGAAATGAATATCGGTTTCGAGGTGGTTGCCCGATGTGGAGACAGAGAGGTCCAGGAAGGGGAGAGAGGTGTTAGAGATGGTCCAGGTAAACTTAAGGTTGGGGTGGAAGGTGTTAGTGAAGTGTATGAACTGTTCGAGCTCCTCGTGGGAGCACGAGGCGGCGCCGATACAGTCATCAATGTAACGGAGGAAGAGGTGGGGTTTAGGGCCGGTGTAGGTACGGAAGAGGGATTGTTCCACGTAACCTACAAAGAGGCAGGCGTAGCTTGGGCCCATGCGGGTACCCATGGCTACCCCCTTTGTCTGTAGGAAGTGGGAGGAATTGAAAGAGAAGTTGTTGAGTGTGAGGACGAGTTCGGCTAAGCGGATGAGGGTGTCAGTGGAGGGGGACTGGTCGGGCCTGCGGGACAGGAAGAAGCGGAGGGCCTTAAGGCCATCTGCATGGGGAATGCAGGTGTAGAGGGACTGGACGTCCATGGTAAAGATGAGGTGTTGGGGACCGGGGAATTGGAAGTTCTGGAGGAGGTGGAGGGCGTGGGTGGTGTCACGGACATAGGTAGGGAGTTCCTGGACCAAAGGGGAGAAAATGGAGTCGAGATAGTTGGAGATCAGTTCGGTGGGGCAGGAGCAGGCGGAGACAATGGGTCGACCAGGGCATTCAGGTTTGTGGATTTTGGGAAGGAGATAGAAGCGGGCAGTGCGAGGTTGGGGAACGATGAGGTTGGAGGCCGTGGGTGGGAGGTCACCTGAGGTGATGAGGTTGTGGATGGTTTGCGAGATGATGGTTTGGTGCTCAGGGGTGGGGTCATGATCAAGGGGGAGTGTGAGCAAAAGCCCAACACGATATTTAATAAAACGTTGCAGAACTCCAGACATTTAAAAAGGTCTTCCATCAGCATAAACGCACTGGGTGTGTCAACAGATCAGATGAATCAGCGAATGCCTTGCTACATATGCAGCAGGTGAACGACCTCTCCCTGTTGTGAACTGCAGGTTGGACAATTGCCTGAACCTCTTCCCACAGCGAGGCTAGATGAACTGAGTGCAATCTGAGGCGAGTGCACCGATGCACAGTCAGCGAATGCGGCTACGACAGTTCTTGTAACAGTCATTTGAAACCTCTCTGTCCAGTATCAACTCGCTAGCGTGTATAGGGACTAGATGCAGAAAGCCACAACTTCAGGCAGCTGACAAGTAAGAACTCGAGAGAACTCTGGCGGGCTAATGATAGGGAGACAGGCAACAGGGGCAGCTGATCAGATTGTCTCGATCTTAGTGACAAAGAAACTCCACTTGCTGTTGCTGATGGAGGAGACAGGGAGAGAGAAGACCACCTTCAAAGTGAATTAACCTGTGTTGGATGTGTTACAAAAAGGAAATCCTGTATTTAACAAAAATGGATTTATTTGACTTTTATTTCAAATATTTACCCCTATAATTGGGCTGGAGGTTATTAACATTAAGGCGAAACAGACTCAAATGAACATGGTTCAATCCTGGATAAGCAAAGACGAAAATCCATCGCTGTAATTACTCATGAACTTGGTAGTGTCTCAGCAGCCTGGATGACTGACAAAATCCCTTCCCACACACTGAGCAAGTGAACGGCCTCTGTCCAGTGTGAAGTAGATGATGTTCAGTGAGTTGAGATGATCGCCTGAACCCAGTCCCACAGTTCGAGCACCTGAACGGTTTCTCATCAGTGTGAATACGTTGATGGGACATCAACTCCCTGGAACTTTTATAGCACCTCCCACAGTCTGGGCATTTAAATGGTCTCTCATCAGTGTGAACCCGCTGGTGTGTCAAAAGGTTGGATGAATTAGTGAATCCTTTGCCACACTCGGAACAGGTGAAGGGTCTTTCTCCAGTGTGAACTCGCTGGTGTCTCAGCAGGCTGGACGACTGAGTGAATTCTCTCCCACACTCAGAGCAAGTGAACGGCTTCTCCCCAGTGTGAACTCGCTGGTGTTCAGTGAGTTGAGACGATCGCTTGAACCCAGACCCACAGTCAGAACACTTGAATGGTCTCTCACTAGAGTGTACTCGCTGATGGGACATTAGGTTTTCAGAGCTTTTAAAGCAATTCCCACAGTCAAAACATTTGAAAGGTCTTTCGTCAGAGTGAATCAGCTGATGTTTCAGCAGATGGGCTACCTGGGCGTATTCTCTCCCACACTCGGTGCACCCGAACGGTCTTTCCCCAGTGTGACTGCGTCGATGAATTTCCACCTGAGACGGGTAATTGAATCCCTTCCCGCAGTCTCCACATTTCCAGAGTTTACGAACCGTGCTTTTTCCTGCCATGTTCAAATCTGATGACATTCAAGTTATATTATGTTGGTCAATTCCATCAAATCCTAATGTGATGTTTGGATTCAGCTTCACAACTGTAAAGCCTCCCTTTCTACTACCCTGTGAAACTGATGTAAAACTTAAAAAAAGGCAGTGAGAGAAAATGCGTGAAACACGAATGCTGGTTGTGAAACCGAACTGGATGAATCTGGTAATTTGTGGGGCCAGCACGAGGGAAAAGTGACCATGAAAGCTGTTGAATTGCCATAAAAACCCAACTGGTTCACTCATGTCATTCAGAGAAGGGCAATGATTAGACTTGATGTACCAGTTAGCCTAGTCTGTGCTGTAATGACTATGGCTCTTTTTTTTTGCAATCTTAACACCGCTGAAGGTATTTGGTTAAATCTCTCTGTGCTCTGAGGCCAAGACAGTGTTTGCATCCTTGGGTGCACTGTCCAGAGCTAAACACATGTGTTTCGTTTGAGTTTTTCGTCGACCAATCCTTCCCATTTCCTAGAAAAAATCTTTAAGTCGCCCAAGATAAAATTCCAGAAGAGACAAACATTTCTCTTGGTTTGATCTTACTCTGCGAACACACCGCCAAAAATTGCGCACGCGCCCTGTAGCATCTTGCTCCCAATAAAGATGGCGGCTACGTGTGCGTCCATGGAATATTGCCCCTAATAAATATGGCGGCGGGAATCCAGGCCCGTTATCACCTGAAGCCCTCAGCTGTTTTCCCGTTTGCTGCAAAGGCAGGACCAGGAGTTTCTAATTCTGGCCTGGAGGCCAACACTTGGTGTTTACGAAGCGTCCCAGTGCACGTGGCTCAATTTCACTCCCGCTATCGGCGGTAACCCTCCCCTTTTACCTTTCTCCTTTCATTCGGCCATACATCAGTCAGGGCAGCGAGCCGCTAGTTCCCACCCCATCTTCATTTCTATTGGCTGGAGGACTAGCTACCGACAGGCCCTCCAGGCCCGCCCACTCCCTCCTGTTGGTCGGGAGCCGCCGTCAATCACGCGGGTCCCCCATTGTGACTTAGAGCGTGCGCTGGACCCGGAGGAAAGCGGCCGCACGGACCGAGTGAAATCCCACCGAGTGGAAGGAGAGGGATGGAGCCGGAAGCTGGGTTGGGTGAGGAGGCTTCATAAAAACCCTCCATCGACCCCCAAACCCGAATAAGAAGGTGACGGTACGGGATTCCAAACGGCGGATACACCCGAGATTTCTTGCACCGTGGAGGCCCGGGGTAACGCCCCACGATCCTGGGTCAGCAGGACACCCAAAAAGTTCTTGAGCCAAGACAGACAACGATTGAATGACGTTCTATACGCAAGGCATGGAGAACTAAAACCAGCCAGAGCATTGGGAGGGAGAAAATTTGGAACTGGGAGATGCTACAAAGGGTTTACATTTCAGCAGAGGGGTGAGGGAGAGTTTGGCTTGCAGATTTAAAACTCTGGCGAACAAGAGAGGAAAATTGTTCAGAATTGTCTGGTCTGATTTATTGTGATGTTCTCACTGATAAGATTCTTGTGAACTCCTTTTCCAGGATATTAGAAGGAGAGAGTTTACAGATAGGAAGCTGAAACCCAACATCATGACGAGGGACAACAAGGTGCAGAGCTGGATGAACACAGCAGGCCAAGCAGCATCAGAGGAGCAGGAAGGCTGACGTTTCGGGCCTAGACCCTTCTCCAGAAATGGGGGAGGGGAAGGGGGATCTGAAATAAATAGGGAGAGAGGGGGAGGCGGATTTCCAGAGGGAGGAGGGTAACTTCTTCAGGGTAGGCATCCTTAGAAGAGGCTTCACAGTGGGGTTAAGATTGTTTCAAAGTCACTCAATTTCTTAGGATCTGAATGTCATTAGACTTTGCATGTAGATAGAGAATTATTTGACTACTCTACCTTCGGGAGAACTGGAGCAGCATTGAGACAAACTTGGCTTAGAAGAGCTTTCACCAGTTACACAGACTGGGTTGACAGTGTTTCATTGAGCTGACTGGAACGAGCAAGAACGTTGCACCTTTAACATTGTGTGTGCGGAAGAATCTTTAACTGGTTGTCCAACCTGGATAGTCACAAGGACATTGACACCATGAAAAAACAGTGGAAATGTGAGGATTGTGGTAAAGGATTCAATTATTCATGCAGACTGGAAAACCATCGCCGTAGTCACACTGGGGAGAAGCCCTACATCTGTTCCATGTGTGGAAAGGGATTTACTCAGACAGTGTCCCTGATGTCACACCAGCGAATTCACACTGAGGAGAGGCCCTACTGCTGCACTCATTGTGGGAAGAGGTTCAAGTATTCTTCCACCCTCACTGCCCACCAGCGCATCCACACAGGCGAGAGACCGTTCACCTGCTCAGTGTGTGGGAAGGGATTCACCCAGTCATTCGTTTTGGTGAGGCACCAGAGGGTTCACACCGGAGAGCGTCCGTTCACCTGCTCTGTATGTGGGAAGGGATTCGCTCGGCTGTGCAGCCTCCAGTCACATCACCTGGTTCACGGGTCTGAGGAGAAGCTGTTCAGCTGCACTTCCTGCGGAAAAAGGTTCAAGCATTCCTCAACACTCAGTGCACACCGACGCACTCACACTGGGGAGAGGCCCTACACCTGCAGTGTGTGTGGGAAGGGCTTCGCTCAGTCACGGTACTTACTGATGCACCAGCGAATTCACACCGGGGAGAGGCCGTTCACCTGCTCTGTGTGCGGGAAGTCATTCACTCAGTCCTCTCACCTGCTGTCGCACCAGCGAAATCACACCAAGGAATGTCCGTTCAGCTGCACGTCTTGTGGAAAGCGGTTCAAGCATTCTTCCACTCTCTCAGTACACCAGAGAATCCATACTGGGGAGAAACCCTTCCATTGCACTTACTGCGAGAAAAGGTTCAACAGTTCATCCACCCTAACAGCACACCAGAGAATTCACACTGGCGAGAAGCCGTTTGCTTGCTCTGTCTGTGGGAAGAGGTTCAGTCAGTCCTTCGACCTGGTGAGGCACCAGCGGGTTCACACGGGGGATAGACCATTCACTTGCCCCGTGTGTGGGAAGGGATTTGCTCGGTTATTTGGCCTCCAGTCACACCACAGGATTCACACAGAGGAGAATACATAAAACGGCTGGCGTTTCATATTTCTGGGTACGATGCTGATTTTTGGGACTGCATTGTCTCTTCGTTAAAGTGATATGTGTGATCTTTCCTTTTGATTCAATAACTCTTAGCAGAAACTCAATTACAATAAAATGACAAACTTTTACTTCTATCCTATATTGATCTTTGCACATTCTGCAGTTCATTCACTGATATATTCCACTGATGACTACCTCCACTGTGAGAATGGTGTTGAATTTTTGCTGGTTTGTTACATTCTTACACTGGCACTTTCTTTGTGAAATAAAATTATTGAGGAAAATGAAACTATTTTACAGACAGAACAATAAAAATCTTCATCAATCAACATTGACATGCATGAAGTTTGGAAGTCGCTGAGTTCAATAATTCATGACACAGCAGCAGCAACATTTGGTGAAGTAAAAGCAGAATAAAAACTTGATCTGCTCAGCAGAAGTGACATCTGTCATTGAAGCGAAGAACAAAACCTGTCTGATAACACACACTATGCACTGACATTAATATATTCAAAGTGAAGATAAGGCATAAAATCTACTCTATGTGTGAAATCTGATTTATTCAGTTCTCCCAGTCTGTGAATATAGTCAGCTTCAATTCCCATCCTGGTTGAGGTCACCACAAAAGAGCCATCTTCTTCATCTTTTCTCCTGAGGTGACCCTAAGGTTAACCACCACCAGTCATGTCTCTCTCTAATGAGAAAGCAGCCCTATGGTCCTTTGGAGCTATGGTGACTGTATCTACAGTTTGTAAGAATAATGTTTTTGTGTGTTAGTATAGTTCGTTGGAATTGTAAGAGTTGATCTGGAGGCTAGAATCTGTGGAGGTGATGCCATGCTGTGAACCACTCTGCACTTGTTTAGAACAGTGAGGCAGTGGATGTTCAGATGTTATTTGTAATCACCGAGGAATATATGTACGCCAATGAACAGGTGAATGCTATTTAGGTTAAACAGACCTGTGATTGGACAACAGCTGCCTAAATGTATCGTGATGTGTGCGTGGACAGTTCTAAAACAATCATCTCAAAATGTTTGGTGCAGTGGGGAAAATAACAAGGGAAGGAAGACAAAGGAAAAAGGAAAATAAAAAGCAAGAATGCTGGAAACTAAATGAAAGGTACAAGGAAATAATTTCACTCTGCTGTCCTGATCTGACACTGGATGTTTACAGCTGGTATTGTTCTGTAATTCACTGCCTGAATTTGACCTTTAGTCTAAAAGTTTCTTCTGGCTCTCTCTTAATAAAGCTGCTTCGTAATTGAATAATATTGCAAATGTCAGACCCTGTTCTCAGTAAGAGATTCAGTCTGTACAAACTGCAAGTTCACATCAAGGAGATGCCATTCCAAATGTGGGACTAGATTCATTTGTGTATCCAGCCTCACTGCACATAATGTTGTTCAAATTGTAAGAGACTGTTTCATTGTTCTCATTGTGTGGAGGGTTTTAGAAACACTAAAGGTTGGTAAACTAGCAGTGCACTCACTGGAGAGAAAGCATTCACCAGAACCAGTATTCTGGAGGAAGTGTTTGCTAGTGTTGTTGGGGAGGGTTTAAACTGATAAAGCAGGGAAGGTGGGGACCAATGCAGGAAATTGGAGTGAAGTAAACTGGGGACAGAAACAAAAGGCAGTAAATGGAAAAGTGGAAGGCCAAGAAACCCAAAACAAAAATCAAAAAGGGCCATATTACATCATAATTCGAAAAGAGCAACAAATGTCAAAAAATGAGCCTGAAGGCTCTGTGTCTCAATGAGAGGAGCATTTATAATAAAGTGGATGAGTTAACTGCATAGACAGTTATTAATGGATGTGATGTAATTGGGATCACAGAGACCTGGCTCCAAGGTGACCAAGGATGGGAACTGAACATCCAGAGGTATTTAGTTTTCAGTAAAGATAGACAGAAAGGAAAGGGAGGTGGGGTAGCATTGCTGGTTTAGGAGGAGATTAACACAATAGTAAGGGAGGACGTTAGCCTGGATGATGCGGAATCTGTATGGGTGGAGCTGCAGAATGCCAATGGGGGGAAACAAAGTTAGTGGGAGTTGTGTACAGATCACGAAGCAGTAGTTGTGAGGTTGGGGATGGCATCAAACAGGAAATTAGAGATACATGCACTAAGGTTACAGCAGTTACTATGGGTGACTTCAATTTGCATGTTGATTCGACTGATCAAACTGTTAGCAATGTGATGGAGGACGATTTCCCGTAATATATGAGGGATGGTTTCCTCAACCAACATGTTGAGGAACTAACTACAGTGCTGGCCATCCTAGACTGGGTATTGTATAATGAAAGAGGATTAATGAGCAACCTTGTGGTGTGAGATCCTTTGGGGAAGAGTGACCATAATATGGTAGAATTCTTCATTAAGATAGAGTAGACACAGTTAAATCTGAGACTAGGGTCCTGAACTTAAATAACTTTGATGTTATGAGGCATGTATTGGCTAAGATAAGCTGGCCAAGTATATTTAAGAGATTGATAGTGGATAGGCAATGGCAGACATTTAAAGAACACATGGCTGAACTTCAATAATTGTATGTGCCTGTCCGGTGTAAAAGTAAAACAGTGAAGGTGGATCAACCATGGCTAACAAGGGAAATCCCGGATAGTGTTGAAGCCAAAGAGAAGGTATATAAATTGGCCAGAAAAAGCAGCAAACCTGAGAACTGGGAAGAAATTTAAAATTCAACAGAGGAGGACAATGGGCTTAATTTGGAAGGGGAAAATAGAATACAAGAGTAAACTCACAGAAAACATAGAAATTGACTGCAGAAGCTTCTATAGATGTGTGAAAACGAAAAGACTGGCGAAGACAAATGTAGATCCATTACAGTTAGAATCAGGTGAATTCATAATGGACAAGAGAGATGGCAGAGTAGTTGAACAAATACTTTGGATCTGTCTTCACTAAGGAGGACACAAATAATCTTCCAGAAATGGCAGGTGACAGAGGGTCAAACATGAAGGAGGAACTGAAGGAAATCCTTATTAGTCAGGAAATGGTATTGGGGAAATTGATGGGATTAAAATCCGATAAGTCCCTAGTGCCTGACAGTCTGGATTCTAGAGTACTGATGGAAGTGGCCTTACTAATAATGGATGCATTGCTGATCATTTTCCAGCATTCTATAGACTCTGGAAGGATTCCGATGGACTGCAGGGTAGCTAATATAACCCTACATTTTAAAAAAATGGAGAGAGAGAGGAAATGGGGAATTAAAGGCTGGTTAACCTGGCTTCGGTGTTGGGGAGAATGCTAGAGAAAATTATTAAGGATTTGAAAAGAGGTGACAGGATCAGTTCAAGTCAGTATAGATTCACTAAAGGGAAATCATGCTTGGCAAATCTAGAATTTTTTGAGGATGTGACCAGTGGAGTGGACAAGGGTGAATCTGTAGATGTTGTGTATCTGGACAAGAGGCTATTGATAAGGTCCCACACATGAAATTAGTAAGCAAAATTAAAGTTCATGGTAAAAAAAGTAATGTGTTGACTGGATAGAGAACCAGCTGGCAGATAGGAAGCAGGGAGGTGGAATAAATGGGTCCTTTTCAGAGTGGCAGGCAATGATGAGTAGGCTACCATGGGTTTCAGTGCTGGGACCCCAGTTGTTCGCAATATACATTAACAGTTTGGATGAAGGAACTGAAAGCAATATTTCCAAATTTGCAGATGACACTAAGCTGGGTGATAGTGTGTGCTGTGAGGAAGATGCTAAGAGACTGCAGGGTGACTTGGACAGGCTGGTTGAGTGAGCAAATACTTGTCAAATGAAATATAATGTGGATAAATGTGAGGTTATATACTTTGATCACAAAACCAGGAAGGCAGATTATTATCTGAATGATGGCAATTTAGGAGAAGGTGAGGTGCAACGAGATCTGGGTATCATGGTGGAACAGTCACTGACGGTTGGCATGCAGGTGCAGCTTGCAGCGTGGAAAGCTAATGGCATGCTGACCTTCATAGCAAGAAGATTTGAGTTTCGGAGCAGGGATGTTTTGCTGCAGTTATATAGGGCCTTGGTGAGGCTACACCTGGAGGATTGTGTGCAGTTTTGGTCTCATAGCCTGAGAAAGGGCATTCTTGCTATTGATTGAGTCCAGCAAAGTTTCACCAGAATGATTCCCAGGATGGTAGGACTGACATATGGGGAAAGACTGGATCAACTGGGCTTGTACTTGCTGGAGTTTAGAAGCATGAAGGGAATCTCAGAGGAACATATAAAATCATAATGGGATTGGACAGGCTAGATGCAGGAAGAATGTTTCCAATGTTGTGGAAGTCCAGAACAAGGGGGTCGCAGTCTACAAATACAGGGTAAGCCATTCAGGACTGAGATGAAGAAGAATTGCTTCACCAAGAGAGTTGTGAACCTATGCAATTCTCTACCACAAGAAGCTGTTGGGGCCAGTTCATTAGATATATTCAATAGGAAGCTGGACGTGACCCTTGCAGCTAAAGGGATCGAGGGATACGGAGAGAAAGCGGGAGTGGCATACTGAAATTGCACAATCAGCCATGATCATTTTGAATGGTGGTGCTGTCTCGAAGGGCTGATTGGCCTACTCCTGCACCTATTTTCTATGTTTCTAAAGGTGTGTGTGCAAAGGGATTTACTCAGTACTTTGACACACCAGCAAGTTCACACGTGACTACGTTGTTGGTTCAGAGTGCCAGAACAACAGAATCCAAACTGTTATGACAAGGTGTAGAGCTGGATGAACACAGCAGGCCAAGCAGCATCAGAGGAGCAGGAAAGCTGACGTTTCGGGCCTAGACCCTTCTTCAGAAATTCAAACTGTTACTTCACTTTAATGTCGATTTTACTCTGAGCTCGTTTTTCTGACCCATATCTGCTCTGTCACCAATGCTGCCTACATCTCCCAGCAGCCTCTTTGTTGTTGAAATGTCATTCATACTTTTTCTCCCTCTAGATCCGACTATTCAAACACTCTCCTTGCTCC